TTACTACAACTGATATATGAATTCTATAAAAGGAAATAATTTTTATGCACGTGATCAGAATATCTTACCTGGGGGTGAGGGGTGATGCTTATAATTAAATGATATTAGGTAATATATGTCACTGCCCTTATTGAACGTTTGTCAGGTTATCTTGACCAATTATTAGGTAGAATTTCCCTTCCTATAGTTAAGATAGCACTATTAGGAAATGAAATATCCTTAACAAATAAAATAGAGACTGTTACAGGCAAATCAACTTTAAGAGGTCTTATTTCTTCCGGAATATATATAAATTCACTTACCAAAAATGTAGAAATTTTCAAGGTTATCCCAACTTTGTCTCCAGTTGCGCTTCAATATTTTTGCATATCCAACAAAGACAACACAAGTGAAGATGCAGGGATTGTTGCTAACATATTACGACACTTATTGATTACAGAATCTTCTTTTGATAATGAAGTATTGGATGGCAAACCATTTGAAATGTTTCATACTAATTGGGAGTTGCTTTATCGTGCACTTCAAAAAAATGGAAAGGTTATGAGTCTTCATAAAATTTATGGTTTACACAAGGAAGAAATTAAAATACAATTGCAACGAAAAACAATTGCATTTTGTCACAATGAAATAGAATTTCCTCCAAATGATAAAATATATGATTCATTCAAAAAATCTTTTGAGAATCTTATGGATTATATATTTGTTTCTAAAAAATCAAATAATAGCAGTTTTGATATAGTAATATTTGAAAGAAAAGCTGATGGATCTGGTTACATTGCTATAAATATTGAGTGTAGGTTTTCTTATCCAAATAAGAAAACACTATTAGAAAGTAATGAAATATTGGATAAATATAAGCTTATGCATGATAAATATCTTATGCATGTTAGATATTTATGTAATAGATTTAGACTGGAATCTAATTCATGGGAAGATGGAATATTTTATGATAGGTCTGCTGTAGGAAAACTTAAAATGACTAAAGATGATATTTATTTAGTTTTTATAGTTTGGAAAAATATAGGAAAGCTTAATTATGATATATTAAATAACAAAAATATAATTATTGTTAAAAGAAAAAATTTGGAAAAAATTTATACTCCATTACTTGTAATACATCCACATTTTTATAACAAAATACTTGAACAAATCAATAATACTATATATGAAAACTGAAATCTTTTTATAATGTATTTAAAAAATATATAATTATATATGTAACAAATTTGAATAAAAATAATAAATATAAACATGCAACTTATAATATTTCATTATTCTGATAAACACTTTTATATATAATAAAGATCAATCTTTAGAAAAATTTATATTAATATAATTTTATCACAAAAATTTAATCAAGTATACTTTTTAAAATATAGCTAATTTTTTCTAAATGCATTCACTTAAACTATAATGAAAATTTTAAAAGTATGCATTTAAAGAAGATGTATATTTAAAGAAAAAATTTTTAATATAATTTCTATATACTTAAAATTGAATGAGTACTTGCATTTAAAGAGAAAAATATATAATATATGCATTTAGAAAAAAATATATTTAAAGAGAATTAATTATAATTAAAAATTAATACTATTCTGTATATAAAGATTATTAAGGAAGTATCTGATTAATTTATATAAATTATTAATTTAAATATTAAAAAAAAATAAATTACAAATGCAGATTATATAATATTAAGTTAAATTGATCTGATGTCATGATTCTTTATTTTATGAAACTTCTGCTATTTTTCTAATAACTATACAATACTACTAAAAATCTTTTTTATTTTAATTTGCATATTCTTATTTGATTATTATTTTTTAATAATCTAATTAATATTTTCCTTATTAATCTAAAAGATATTACATAAAGTATTATCTTTCTATTAAAATTTCTATACTTTATTTAAACTGTATATATTATTTATTTTATATTTACAATACTTTAAGGATAATTTTATCTGCATAGTAACTTATATAAAGTTTTATTAAAATTTATCTTTTAAATTAATAATCTTATTTAATAAATAATATTATTGTATAATTGAAATTTTTATTTATAATATAATTTTGAAATTATTCATAAACTAATACTCCAATGACTATAATTATAAAAATAGATAAATTTCATTACCTTATTAATATAAAATCAAACATATAATAAATAAACCTAAAATTAGCTAAAATATATTAAAATAATAAAGCAAAATAAATAAACAATATCAGTGAATCAAAACTAACAAGCATTTCTTCTATTTCTAAAGGAAAAAATAAACAGACTTAGTTAGACGAAATGGACAAACCTAAAGTTTTGACTTTCAACAAGAATGTGAATGATTGATAATTCAATATAATTACTGAGTCCACTCATTTTTACGCTACTGACAATGTGATAGATATAAAAGGAAATCTATTGCTGAAAAACGCAATTTTATCAATGTATTATTTATTTATTTTAATGGTTTTCAAGAATCTAACTACCTTTTCAAAAACAGAAAATTCATCATCTATTTTGACAGTTTAGAACACCTCACATATGCTGTCACAAAAGTACAGGAAACACAATATAACCTGATCTTTTTGATTGCAGATCCTAATGCTAAATAACTAAAGTTAGATACTGAAAAAGGTCGTACTATCAAAGTGTCAGACATCCCTTTTTTTTTAAATCTAAAGTAGTACAAAATTTTTTTGCTAAATTTTGAATGATCATCCAATTTTCCTTAATCGTCAGAGGACCCTGGCAGATTGCATTTATTATTTACAAAAGCAATGATGCTATCAAATATTTTTATAATAATACTTGATCTATTTTCTTTTTAGAGTTCGCTTTAAGAGTAGAATCCACTAATCTTGATCCTATATAAACTACATTGAGACAATAATTTGAGTTTAAACTTACTAGCCTATCACTTAATACTGATCAATGCTTTCTATATAATTTCTTGATCCAGATCAAAGCCAAATCTTGTTTCATTTTAAGAGATCAATAATATCGATTAAGACCTTACGCATTTATTAATTTTGTCACTATTGAAGACTTAGACGCTGCAGCTGCTCAATACTATAAATTTAAAGGAAATGTATTATATTGGATGGGTCTTGCAGACAAACACTACAGAAAATGTGAATCCCCAGATTACGAATTTAAAGATTGTTTCAAGAAAATCTCTACTAATCTATATAAACCTTTATATGAGTGTTTCAAATCTAAATAGTACAGACTATCACGTTCTCAAATATCAATTAATAATCATAATAATATGACATATGCTAAAGCTATTCATATCAAATCACTGATTAACAATAAGTCACCTTCTAACAATATCCAAAATAGATCTACACATTCTTCTAATACTAGCGAAAATATTCCTACATTACTTAGAAAAGTTAAAGAACTTGAAAATAAATTCAAAGTACTCTCAGAGTTATTCAATAACATTAAAAAAGAAATTATGCTTCAAAAACATAATCAAGAAGACATCAATTATCATCTTTCAAAACTCAAATTTTTACAAAAATACCAGATGACGATGTTGACGAAAAATTTCTCATTAAACAATCAAATATCAAAGAAATCCCAAATCACCAACCCAAACCTTCAACACAAAAACAAAACCCTTCTATCTCAAATAGAACACCTATGGATACAGACAACAATATTATAATACCCACACATTCACGTAATAATAATATCCTCTCAGTTTATATGGATCAAATACAAGAATTGATGCTTACTTTTGGTTTGCAACTCCAATCAGTTACTTTTGTGATCGCCTAAATGACACCTACGACTCATATATCTAAATAATTAATAATAATAAGAAATATAATATTGTAGGAATAATGTCGTCATGTCCTATTAACAATAATAACTATAATTTAAACGCACTATTATCAACATTTAATCATAACTCAAACTTTTTTTCTATCACTACACATAATATTAGAAACTGTTCCTCTGATACCAAATTACAACAAATAGAATCCTTTTTCACCAACTTATAATTTGACATAATAGGACTCAGGGAAACACACCTTACATACAACCAAGTTTGACATCTTAACAATAATTACCATGATAAACCTTATAAATTTTTTTTCCACAATGCAAATAGAGAACAAAATTGCCAAGAAGTTGGTCTTATAATTTGAAACGAGTTATGCAAACACATTTTTAATCAACAGGATTTTTTTGATTGAATTATATATATAGATCTTCAATACAAAAAGAAAGTCAAATTACATATTATTTAAGTTTACCTTTCTGTTACCTATAGAAACAAGTAATCATTTAGATATAGATCACAAATTTAAAAGAAACTTATGGATATTTTAATTCAAAGTCATAGAAACAATTTTCATGTTATCTTAATGGGTGATTTTAATATTAATATCTCAAATAATTATCATTCTAAATGTCAAAGAGTTTTACAAAGCTTTCTTCATCAAATTATTGACCTGGATTTTATTCATACTATTACTCCTTTTCTCTCAACCTACTCTGCTACTTTCAGATCTTTCTTAAACTTAAGCTACTCTCATTTAGATTATATTTTTGTATTTACAAACTTAGCATAAGAACTTACTTACCAAAAACTATCAGTATAACCTCTTTCTCTCTCTCTCTCTTTCTCAAAAAAGAGAGAGAGAACTACTCGAGAGCAGAAACTCTTTGATCAGTTGGCCGAGTTGCAAAAGAACCTCATGTTGTGATTTTGCAAAATTGTTATTAATGTTAAACTAAAAAGTACATTTAATAAATTTTATATCAAATCTATCCAACATCAATGATGGACGATACAATGATGATGAAATGGCTTATTTAAACCTTCTCTATAATTTCCATTATTTTTAGGTTCAAGAAATAAAAAATTTGAGAACATGGGATACATTTACTGAAAATGTAGAGCACTGACTAAACCACCCTAAGTATTTTACCAATTTTATACATATAAAGTATGGGGTCTTTTATAAATGTTCGATTCAAAATCTTTAGAAGGGTATGTTACATTTAAGGAGGGACTCAATGCTCTACGATAGTCACTGTATATTATCTTTTAACAATTATATTATGTAATAACTATCTTTCATTAAACTTATTATCTATTTTTCTATTTAACAGATATTTTACAATATAATCAATAATATAAAATACTAAATTTTGAAGTCATAAATATATACAGGGAGTATTGGCTACCCAATTAATATGCAAAATAAGTATGTCATTTTATCTTTGCTAGACGCAACTATATTTAACGGATCACAAAAAACTAAAAATTATCATTTGCTATGTTTTTCATGAAAACTCTGCTAGGATAAAGGTTTCTTACTTAAACTATTCAATTGAATCCAAATTAAATATTTAAGCAATTAAGTAGGGTGAAAATTTGCCACATGATGTGTTTTAGAAAAAAATTTAGCAAAAGTCAAAAAGGAAGAATTATTGCAGCAAAAAAGTTAAGATATATAAATAGCAAGATTTTCTCAGTTGTTAGTTGTATTTGTTCCTCTATTCAGTATATATAGAAATCATATGAGCTAAAAAGTCTTTTAACAGGACAAATATCTTAAGTGTTCAGTGATTAGAAATAAAACAAATGTCATCAAACCTCTCTAAAATACATTAAATATATTAAATTATTCAAATAAAACTATTTATAATAAATTAGCTAAAAAATCTCTACTCATACATTCCTCTTCTCAGTCTATTAATTTCTGAAAATAATAAAATAAAATGTTGTTTGTAAACTCATACTTATGCACGCAATTTAGAACTTCAGATTTAAGAGTATATAGTATGAATTTTCTAAAGAATTTTATGAAGATTACATTGCAACTACAGTCCAAAAAAGATTTGATCGCATAATTTGAAAATGTTTAGTTTAGAACTTTTAGTCTCTTAGTTGATTGAGGTACTGAAATTACGCATCATGAAATTTTAGTTAATTATGCAATTTTTATAGTTAAATCTTACGCAAAAATCAAAAAGTTTTTTTAAAGAAGTTAATGCACCTGTACATACTGTAAAAGGAACCTGTTCTTTTCCCATATTCTCATGTGTTGAGTTGTTTTTCTGGATATCTCAAGTTCTAATATTAATCTGATATAATCGTATATTAAAGTTAAAATCTATTAATGAGATTTAACTATTAAGCATTACGTAATTAATAC